TAAGGTAAGAAGCTTTATGTTTAGAAGTGACTGTAACTTTGTTACCATCAAAGAAGGGTGGGGACGAGTTTCAAGCACTCTCATTATTCCCTTGTCTGCTAAACCTCCTTCATAAAAAAGAGAGGCTTACAACTAAGCCCAGCCTCTATCTCCCTCTTAACAAAGAGGGGCTTACAAATTAGCCCAGCCTCTATCTCCCTCTTTACAAAGAGGGGCTTACCAACAAGCCTAGCCTCCCTCTTCACCAAGAGGGGCTTACAAACAAGCCCAGCCTCTCCCTCCCTCTTTAAAAGATGAGCTTACAAACAAGCCCAGCCTCCTCCGCCCTCTTTACAAAAAGGGTCTTGCAAACAAGCCCAGCCTCTCCCTCCCTCTTTAAAAGATGAGCTTACAAACAAGCCCAGCCTCCCCCTCTCTCTTTACAAAAAGGGTCTTACAAACAAGCCCAGCCTCTCCCTCCCTATTTAAGTGAAGAGCTTACAAACAAGCTCAGCCCCCCCTCTCTTTCAGCTAACCTTTTGCACAGAATCGTTCAGTCAGAGTTTAATACATCAAACTGATTGTTTTCCTCAGAAGGTACATAGGTTTTCCTTGAGGAAGTAAAACAATACTCATTATACTATTCTTCGTCGTCTATACTCTGAAGCTCGAATGCTGTGGCGCAAGTAATTACACGGACTGGGACGAAAGTAAATGGAAAGAAGTCAATAAGGACAATAAAGTACCGCTGAGTTGCTGTAAGAAGGACGAAAACACAAGAACTTGCAACAAGGTTTCGAATTTTGATAAAAAAAAAATTCATACGAAGGTAATGTTTTTAATATTTGCGGTTCCCTAAACGAGCAGTAAGCTCCAGAAACCATAAAACTTTTATCTTCGTCTTTAAAAAGGGTTTAGGGACCAATAATTATTTACCGCCAGAAGGGTTGGGAGGACTTAGGTCGTGTCACAGTAAAATTTACCTTTTCCTCCTCCAAGGCGTGGTAGTCTTCTAATAATTCCCCATTATTAGCAGTCAGTTTCCTAGAGTGCCCCGTCTATACTCTGGTAGTGGCGACTGATCCTTCCTCCGCCTCCTCCCTGCAAACCATGCGTCCTCCCTCCCCCCTCCCCCTACCAGGTGACAAAGAATGATTGGTCCATCGACAGCGTTTTGACATTCTGAAGAGTATAATCTAACCTCTACAAATTTATCCTCCAATTTGCCATAATTTTCAATATTCTTCGGTAACTTTCATCCTTTTTTTACATCTGCCTGGTGATCCGTTTGAACGACTTAGAGTCGCAAAACAAGGCATTTGTGACTCAAATAATGATGTTTTCTTCGAGAACCAGAGCAGCACGGCTTATTGTGAACCGCTTGATGATGCGATTCCGTCGTTACTTAGGTCTGCGGCCAGGTTACTAAATTGTTTTCAATATGGCGGCGTTAGTGGACGGGCAGTTTTTTGAACGGTTAGTTTACCCCTGAAAATCAAGTAACGCAGTGAGAAGTAAACTCACGTATACATAGTTTTCATTATGGATATAAAGATTTTATGGTTTCTGTACCATAAATCTCCCGTAAACCTGTCTCGCTCTCTCTCATCGTAGTCAATGACCCTTTTAGAAATCCGGCACTAATCAACTCTTATCAACTAATACGGCCATACGGTGTGAATTCATACTTTAAAAGTGCGGCTTCCCGGCAACACTCACTCTCATGCCTGGTCTGAAACCCAGACAACCCTCAGCCAAGTATCACACAAGTAATGCGCCGATCAATTCAAATTGATCGATGCATAACTAAGTGACTCCTACGCGCAATCGCCCGCTTTCTAACACTCTTGTCTTCAAATTCTTTCCAGGGTTGTCTTCAGTCGCTAACAGATTTTGTCGATAAACATCTGTTCGTCCTCGGTATTGTAGCAGTATCCATTGCCGGAATCCAGGTTTGTAGATGTTCCTTCCACAGTAACCCAGTTTCTTATTGCACCCACCGTAAGCAAAGGAAACGATTAAAATCTGTAGGCGTTTCTTCGTGCTGGTTACTCGTGTAACGGCTCAAGGGCGTAACTTAGGTATCACGGAAGGAAAAAAAGGAAAACGAAAGATTTATCAACTTCTGAAAATATATTTTGGTATCGTTTTAACTCAGGAGTTATAGAGCAAAAATTGATTTGATGGTAGTACGAAAGGCGCGAGATTGATAATCGCGAGAAAATATATCATAACGAAAAAGTAATGATCATATTATGAGAGAAAAAAAAGCGAATGAAAAGTGAAATACTCAGCATCAAGCCTTTGTGTACAACTACTGAAGGAGTTCAGTCAGTGTGAACAAGAGCTCAGATATGTTTTCACGAGATGTTTCTTTTGGTTTTCAGTTACTTGGAATGATTTTTGCCTGCTGCCTCTTCTGTTCTATTGATGTATGAAGGAAAGAGGACGTAAATCAATTGATATGGGAATCATTTAACTATACAGCTAGTAGTTTAACTGCCTTTTATTCAATCTAATTCTTTGGAAGAAAAATAATTGAAGCCAAAGATATTAACTCAGCCCAGACATCAATTTTTATCGAGGAAAACTTGGTTGAATTGATTAAGAATTGTCTTCCTTGAAGTTGCTGTCAGGAAATTGAATGCTTTCGAGAGCTCTTAGAGTTCTTGTTTTAGAGCGTATTTTAATTAAGTCTCGTAAAACCAGAAAATAAAAAGAAATCAACGGGAAATCAAAACAATGGAAGACGTTAGATAAAATGAAAACAAATTCGATATGAAAATCGACAATCTTGATTGAAGTGTGGAAAAACGCGGCTGATCAAGTCACTATTGTCCGGATTTTTCCATCTGATTGATTGAGAGAGTGGCATGAGTTTTGTAGATTAAACAGATTAAGTCAAAACCATTGTAATCCATGCCGACTGCTTCAGGCACTGAAGCACTGAGAAGAACCAAGGAGCTTAATGCCCTAAGTCGTTGCTCTGGGGTTCTATTTGTTTGTTTGGGGTCCGCCTAGAATATGACGACGCTATATTGAATTTCAAAGTGCGAACCAACGGGAAAAGTAGGATGCGGACGTGGGACGTCATGGAAGATTGCTACCTCGTTCCCAGGACTTCTCTTATTTACCGCACAAAAGAGATCCTGTATAGTGTGAGATCCTTCATCGATTGCTTTTATGCATGATGACGTCATTTACTGAAATTCACCGCCAAGCCTCGTTAACCGTGAAGTTTTCATAAATCTTTGCCACTTTCTTGTTGTTTCCGTATGGGTGTTCTCGTGATTTCAGTTTTTGGGTTACTTTCTTGTGAAAATTCATCACTTCCTTCCTTGAAAGCGAGGTTTGGGGTGGAAAAAGGCATTTCGAAGTAAAAATGTATAAGTCTTGTCTTGGATAAGTTATTAGTGTATTTGTCTTTAATGAGGCGCTTTTCGATTGAGTGTCGTTGAACAAAAACCAAAGTAATCACGCGGCCAATGAGATTTAATGAAGATATTACGTGGGCTCGATATCCATTATTTTCTCGCGTCCAGTCTTCGCTCCTCCCGAGGAGGAGCGCGGGTTCACTCTCCAAGCAGCTGCTGGTAATCGCGTTAAATGTCTCAAGGAGTAAACAAAAACTCAAAGTAAAATCACTTAGCTGGCCGCAAGCGCTGGAAAACGCAAATTATCACGTCTCGATTGGTTGCATGTGATTTGTTAAGTAAACGACGAGGGTTTTTTTTAACCAATCACAAGGCATGGTCGAATAAGCTCAAAGTAATGACACTATCGACACTTGATCGAGAACCGCTTCAACTTTGGATAGTTTTAATAGTTAGAGCAGACAGGATTGATAATAGATACAATATAACTATCCCTAAAACGCGTAAAGCTGGGTCAAACCATAAAAATGTACACATCATATCAAAATAAGGACATATAATCAGCAAATAATGTGAAAAACAAAAATATACTGGGCATATAGGTTCAGTGAAAGGGATATAAAGATAAAGGCACTGAGACGTTAGAGGTCTGGTATGTTTTAATGGCCAGGGAACGAGTGGATGAAGGTTTTCATATTCTACAGAAGGGAGGCAAGGCAAGGGGTCTGTTGGTTGGTGCAGGTGTTAAACCAACCCAGTGAGTGAAGTTTTTACTTCCTGAGGCAGTTATCATGCTACACCTGCATGCAAATGCAACCATTCGTTGGTCCATAGGTTGGTTATCAACAACGACTTCAAAAGAGTGTAAACCACCGAAGCGGAACTAAAGACAACCTGGGGCGGTTTACCTACTGCTCTAACCCTACAATTGATAATCCAGCAGTCATCTAGGCTCGATTTCCGCCGCTCTCTCGTGTTCGGGCTTTGAAGAGGATTCGAGGGAAAGGAGCGCGGGCTCATATTACTTTCCAGCGGCTTGTAATCGAGCCTAGTAGTCATAAAGCTAAGTTTCCGATTCAGCCGGAGCTTACGTTGCTTTCTGGAGCACTAACTCTATTGCTGCTCCCCCCCGGATGAGATGCAGGTCCATCGCAAGTTCTGCCCCCACCTCCTCCTCCACAAGTCCGTAGGTTTCCCAGACAGTTCCGATCGCTCATTACACAGGCAGCCCATGCTCGCACAATGAGCCTCGGTAAAAGGGAAAATGTTTTACGTTGCGTAATGGGCGAAATATTAGGAGCTGTATAGGAAATGGCCACGCAATGGCCCTTTCTATAATTCTATCCTTTCCTTAATCCGCCCAGAAAAATCACGATACAAAGGGACGACCACTTAAGTAGGGTAAGTTTGTTTTAATTCAAAACTATTTCAGATTTCAAGTTGAGAGTGCGACTGTTTTTTCCCAAACAAATCTTAATATTTCACCAGTTGAGCAACGTAAACACATTGGCATGTATAGTTACGGAGGCTTATCGTGCGAGCTTGGTTTACCTTTGGTTCTCATATGTACTCCTGAGCGGAGATCAAGAATCTCATCCAAATCTCTTCCCAAAGGGCAAACACGGAGGATATATTAACACTCCTTCGAAAAGTTTCACCTTTCATTTATTTGGACTGAGAAAGATTCTACAATTCTAAGCAAAATTTGTCTGTAAAAAGAAAGTGCAAACATTCTCGCATGTAATTCAAGGGTTGAATTTCACAATTCTACTGTATTGATGATCTCCATACCATGTTGTATGAAATAATCAATACATAAATATACTTTTCGTCCACAAACATCTTCCGGAAAGGGCGAAAAAATATTTCCCCAACCTATCATTCGCAATGTCTTCCCTTCACTTAGTTCTTATTTTCACAAGATACATTCAAAGTTCATTTTCCAGTTACATCCACAGTAGTTTTCACTTTCTTAAAGCTATTTTTCTACTGTTATCATCGGTTTTAACACGAGCGGAGCTCTACAAGCTTCAGTTCTTCATTGAAGATTGGGAAAATGGCAACTATCCGCTGTTAAGTTTTTTTTTCTCCTCTCTCTCTCTCTCTCTCTCTCTCTTTCTCTCTTCTAACGACTTCAAAATCAATTCTCATGCAACGAACGAGATACAGTGTCTTATATCTTGCAGTGTTTAACCCTTTACACCCTAACATCAGTATGCATATTATCCTTCTTTATACATTTCCCTAAGGTTACTGACAAGGAAAATTCGTTTACTGATCAAAAGCTTCTTTCGTTGGTGATCATTTGCTTTATTCTCATGACCTTAATGTGTGATTCAGGGGGGATATTGTTGGGAGAAATTAGATGCCACTCACTCTCAGGGTGTAAAGGGTTAAGCAAAACGTGGGATTCCTTGGTTAACAAGAGAATGAAGAAGATAAAGCTGCAAACGATACTTCACTGACAAGAGGTGGCTTTCCCAGCAACGATTAAGTTGTTCAATGAACGTTTTAAAATAAATATATGGATGGCTTTCAATCCTGACTTTCCAAGGCTATGTCAATCAACTCCAGATCTCCAGGACAAAGTCAATCAAAAGCACCGCAAATTGGCTTTTCTTTCATAGAAAGTTTTCCTCAAAGAGAAACCGAATCTGTGTTCATTGATTCTTACATTCCACTGGCTTGTCGCCGTCCTGAGAAACAAGAGATGATCGTTTAACCATTACAAGGTTTTTACTGCTGAAGAACGGTCAACTCTAACAAAACGAGTAATGGAAAACAAGAGCAGAACTATCAAAATTTTGCCTCACTACGCATTGTAGACGTTATAGAAACTGCACACCACCCTTATAACTAATCGGATGCAATAAAGTAAATAAATGGACGGTCGTATAGGCAGAGGTGTTCCCCTTTAGACGGGCTCAACAAGTGCTCAGCGGCTGCCAATGGTGAGATAGGCGGCTACGCAGTAAGGCGAAACCTTAACAAAACAGCCCGCTCGCAGGCTCAACAGACGGAGCTGAGAGGTCTCAAATTAAAGGCGGCAGTAGACCGCCGGTGACCGGCTCTCATTGAAACCCGTGGGTAATGCTAATGAATCACTTGACTCACCGGGGGTGGTTGATAATCGGGGTCGCTATCTTCCTCTTCATCACCCTCCCCTTCCTGATAAAGAAAAAGAACAAGTAATCATACACGATGGAAAACCTCTCGAACTCTAAAGAGACTTTGCTGTCAAAAAGGATGGGGTGGGGGAGAGGGTGGGTGTGGGCTCTCACACACCTCACGATTAATGCATTGATCACTGCTGTCAAAGATAACAGAATACTGTTCTGCGGGCGCGCCTCACTTCCATACATTCCCCGTAGAAAATGCATCTTCTTGAAGTTCGAGGGAAGTGACTTCTACGACTTCAATGGCAACTCCAATAAAATATGATTTATAACAAACACAAATCATTTTCATTTGTAAACAACTCGGGTAAAATTGGAGGCGTAACACACATTGTTTGTATTCTCCATTTTCCTCCTTCTCCCGACTGTCCGGCATTTCGTCCGAACAATCTAGAGTATAGAGTTTACCATAAACATACCTCGTCTTCTTCACCTTCATCTTCTTCTTCTTCGAACTGAAAAATAAAAATTACAGAAGGAAAATTAGTTTCTTGGAGGGAAGAGTCGAAAGTGTAAGGGTGCACCACATAATTAATCCTCTCTCTCTCTTCCCCCCCCCCCCCCCCCCCCCTCCTCCCCACTCTACAGCTTTCAGAAGTGTTTTCACAAGTAACATTTCCTTGCATTACAAAATCACTATACGGTATAAATGAGATGAGAGTATAATGACGTATCACGTTACCATTTCTCTTTTCTAGCTGCTAAACCTTCATCAAGGTTAACCATTTCACTCCCAAGATCTACTTAAGTTCTCTTATCTCTCTGCCATACAATTCTTACGATGTTAGTTCTATTGATTTGGCATTGGATCAACTAGTCATCCCCGAATTAATATTTTTCTTTATTCTCATCCCTTGTCTGCTTGAGAGGGTATGGACATTTGGTCACTCGTGGGAGTTAACGCAAGACATGTCGTTATAAAGATTAGAACTTCACTTAGGTTCAACTGATGCCCTTTATAGGCGTAACAGATTAGTGGCAACACTTGACCCAATTAAGCCCAATCCATCATCGTAATTAAGAATTTTATTAGAACCACATTTGCGATTCTATGTTTCCAATACAATATTACAAGCGGTCGTTTATCAGTTAGGAAAATTTGGTGTTTCATCACGACAACTTTCCGGTGAAAATATGATTGTTGAATGATATAACGTTATTGTAAGGTGATGGTTAAGTAAATCACTTCAGTCTGCAATTTAAACGATTAACTAACCTCGTCTTCAAGAGCTTCTCCAGTAAAATACAGAACAGCCTGAAACAGTAAAAAGAAGTCACTTGTCAACAAACTCATTAGTAATTCTAAATCACGTGCCAGGATGCACATGGTTGGGATCTAACATCCACCAAGCTAAAAACAACAACAACAACAACAGCTCAGGAGTCTGGACCATTTTTTCAAAATGAAATGTTACAAGAGAGCAATAAAAGACCCACACTGGCTCTTACTGATTCACACTTCAAAACACCCTACTATCCTTAGAGGGATATAATTATGTTCAGAAGTGTTTCCTAAAAATAAATCTCTACAACATTTTAAACAAACTTCAAGATAATTCTACCTTTGGAATTACTCTTTCTCTGAAGAAATGACCAATTTCAAAGTCTGCTGACAAAAGAGCCTCTGTTTCTTCATCCTGAAACAACATTTCAGTACATTATTTATTTATGTCCACACAGTTATCTGATGCAGCACCATTCATTTAAAAAACATTTCACTCATACTTGCAAAAAATAAAATTGGCTAGTAAGGAAAATCTTTGCAACTAGGAAACATACCATATCAGCCTCATCTTCAGGAACTGGAAAAAAAGTTACATAACGTAAGAACAAGAGTCTAGTGAGCGTGATTTTCCTAACAAATGGGTAAGAAGTAGAAAATTAAAACACAGAACGTCAGACTAAAGGCGAGACTGTTGAGTGGCAGATATAGAGGTTTGGGGGTCAAGCCTTGTTTTATATCAAAGGCTAATGTGCACTGTTCAAAATACACAAATCCCATGTAAGTGTGAGGTACTTGTCTTAGTTTTACTACTTTGGAGATCTGATTTTTCAACCAATTCTTAATTTTTCCCTCAAAATTTTTGTCACAGCTAGATAAAATAACCTAACATATTTGCCCTAACATATGCTTTAAAACAAGAGAAATCAAACCAAATTTCACTCAAATCATGGATACTATAAACCATCATTTGAAAACTACCAGCCTCTGGGTTGTATGACAAGAACTAGACTCACCTTCTGGAGGGGAAAAGAAGTTGAAGAAAGAATCATTTTTTATTGTTTTGCTGACAAATCTTGTTTGTCCTCTGCCACCAGAACCTAAATAAAAAACAGAAATATATTGTTTCACCAATTGTTTCTGAGATTCATATAACAGTGACCTGTAAAGTTTACAAAACATACCCTTTTTCTTTTGTTTTTTCTTTACAACTTTCTGTGTCACATTCTTGCCTTTCTTCCAGTCGATATTGCAGCTAAAATAAAATGAAAAAAACTTGTTTAATAGCATTGTATCAGCAAAATATCACATACAGGCCAAACAATGGGTTAAAAAACAAGTGTCAGTGTGGAAAATTACCCTTTAACCCTCTCTTTGACCCTTGAGAGTGATAAATATATAATTTCTCCTTACAACATCACCCCTAAATAACATGTTTAGATCACAAGAATAGTGGAAATGATCAACAGCTGAAGAAGCTCTTAATTGTTAACTATAAATTCTCCCTGTTGGCACTATAGGAAATGTATAGAGAACAGTATGTAGAAGTTGCAAACCGATTTTATTGTAAGAAGGGTTGATTCACTTCACCATGGAATTTGCAAAATTATTTGTAAATAACCCATGGACAGAACAAATAACTCTAACCCTAACCCTAAGCAACACAGATCAATCAGTAAACCTTTAAATATGATAAAAGTGATCAAAAAATTACCCAGATGTGCTGATTATTTCTGGCCCCTCAAATGAAAATGGATCTTCCTCATCTGGCTCACATTTCATTTTATAACTCTTGGTTAAAACCTAGAAACGAGACATTTTTTTTTAAATATCAGTTGTCTTTATCTTCTGTCACTTAAAAGATCTGCTTTTGTTACAAAGATTGCATTGCAGAGCAACAACACTTCTAGCTTTGTAAAAAAAAACCATGATGCATTTTGAAGGTGGTTTTAGTACTAGGAAATGTATAGAGAACAGTATAGAGTTTGCACACTGAAGAGATAAGGGGTTGACTTTGATCTGCTCTCTAAGCAAATGTTTTGGAATCATTGGGAGCATACAATATAAAGCTTTAGCAGCTTTTTTCTTTCTATTCATTCCATTTGCATTTCTCTCACCATTACCGCAACTAGGGGTAAGAAGAGTAGATAGTTTTTTTTTCCTATACAATGTTAGGTGTCTCAACTTACAGTATTTGTAAAATAAGGGTTTGGTGAGAAGTGGAATTCCAGCACAAAGCCCTGAAAATAGAAAAAAAAAACCAAAACATTGTATTAGCAGAAGAAAACAATTCTAATTATGACAAATTTAAACAAAAATTGACTTTGCTGACACCACCTAAAAACATAAACATTCTCACTGATTAATGCAGGCTAAATTGACAATATTATCAGCACTAATAACAGCATGATTAAAACTTTCTCCAATACAAACCATTGGTGTAGGTTGAGGATACTGTGTTGTGTCAACATTGCTGTCTGGCCCAGTAAAAATGACTCTGATATCAAGGAGATGCTTCAAAATTGGTTCATCATGTTCCTAAGTGATGTACATAAAAAAACAAAATTCAGTTTCAACTTTAACAACCATAAAAAAATTACATATATCCAAGTACAGTACCTTGACTTCAGAAAAATACTAAATTGGGCTTCCCTACACAGGTGAACATGTGGTCATTTTAAAATTATTGTTTGATAGGCTGACTCTGAGGTCACCTTCACAAAATAAAATTTTCTATAAATCCTGCTTCTGAATCAGTTTTGAAAATAGGGCTTTTTGAATTTGGAACAGTTCAGACATTTTTCACGGGTGGCTTAGCTGCCAGTTTTGAGTTTTGAGTTTTGAACCACTAATTCAGATGCAAACCTAAACTTTTTCTTTTCATTACCTATACAGTTAACACAACAATAATATAGTCTGTTAACAAAGCAAAATAATATGATATAATCTGTTCACAAAATAAAATTTTCTATAAAATTCTGTTTCTGAATCAGTTTTGGAAATAGGGCTTTTTGAATCTGGAACAGTTCAGGCACTTCATGTGTGGCTTAGCTGCCAGCTTTGAGTTCTGAACCACTGATTCAGATGCAAACCTACACTTCTTCTTTGCAAAATTAATTTCACCTGAATCATGTCAGCTAACAGATCTACATTCTTCATCGCTGTCAACCAAAACTCTGGAACACCCTTGACATCATCTAGGATGAGACAGATTGATCACTAAGCTAATTTCTTTCAGTCTGTGAAGAAACCATGACAATAAAAAAAGAAGAGAAGGCTCTCATTCTAAAGAGAAAAAGCTCAACCTACCTGATAGTTCTGAAGTCTCAAGCTTCTCTTCATCCTCTATTTTCACTTTTTCTTTCACTTCACCCTGAGGAGGAGAGAAGGAAAGAAACATTTTCAGTGATCTGAAATTTATAAACTTTGATGAAAAGATCTAGCTATTACTACTGAAAGTAAAAAACCTTAACCTTTAACATCCTAATGCCAATGGCATATTCTCCATACAGTACCCTTTACATTTCACATGGTACTGCCAAGGAGAACTTGTCTAACAATCCAGAGCTTTGTAAGTTGTGGATCATTTCTGTTATTCTCATGTCCTTAATTCTTGCTTTAGGGGTGATAACTTTGGGAGAAATTAGATGCTTATCACTTTAAGGGGTGAAAGGGTGAAGCCCATTTTATTTCCCCAATATGTCCTCTCCACCCCTAAAGAATTTCTATTTCTCTCAGTGATAGCACACTGTTTTTTTTTTAAGAGACATTTTCATTTTCCAGAAGTCTAAAATAAAATTATGAGTACCTACTACCCCACACAGAAATGTTACCTAGAAAATTCAGTTGCGCATTAAGCCTGAAGGATAGTAACAGCACAAAGATTGATTTCAACATGACAAATGATCAAAACATCCAGCTTACAGTCAGCTGTGTAACATCTTCCTCTTTTTTCTCTTCCTTGTCCTCATTCTCATCGTCCTCCTCATCACTTTGCCATTGGCATTCCTCATCTGTAGGTTCCACTAGTCCATTGACAATGTTGCGACGCTATCATCCATACAAGATAAAAAAAGTATTTCATCATTCCTTTCTGGCCTTGTACAATACAATAATATTTTCAAAAGTCCTTCACATTGGTCATGCTAACCTCTAACCCTAAGCTAAAAGGTCCTGTGGATATTTACCACAGAATAGTCAAGCCTTCTTTTAACCCTTTACAGCCAAATATCAGCTTACATTTTCTCCATAATTTTTAATATACATTTCCCTTGGCACTGACAAGGAGAATTTGTTAATGCTCACAAGCTTCTCTATTTGGTAATCATTTCCTAATTTTCATGACCTTGGTATTTGATTCAGGGGTGATATTGTACTAAGGAGAAAGATAAGATGCAAAACACTTCTAGGTGTCAAAAGGTTAAGGTGTGAACTGGTATATTTTATTGGGCTAGTGAGACAATATTTCCAAAGCACTAAGATCAGAAGAGTGTCCACATGAAAAAACAAAAAGAAAAGAAAAGAAAAGATTTTGACAAAATTGAAAGAAAAATAAAATAAAAGGGTGGCCTTGTAGTGAATTTTCAGCAAATGGTGTAATAACAATTTTAGAAGATTTCCCCTTGAAACAGATACAAGTCCATTGCAGGATACCCCATGGCATTTTAAACATCCCCTGACAGTTTTCTAGAATCCTGGCAGATGAAGGGATTGTAAAAGTAAAGAATCTACTGGTAACTTTAAAATCTTCATATAGACACCATAAATTATTACAAACAAAACAAAATACTGCCTTACCTTTTCAAACAATGGTTTAAACTTTTCAGCAAATTCACATTCAAGAGCATGTACCCTCTCGTAGAATAACCCTTCCACTTTGCAACATTCAACCTGGAACACAACAAAGAAACACATGGCAAAAAATACAAAAGTGGGGACCAGAAGAGGGACAGTGAGCAAGTAAGCCACAAAATTATTGAAACTACTTCAACAAACATTTGAAGAAATCAAAGAAACTGACCTGTATATTTTTCAAAGCCTTTAACCTTCGTTTCACAGGTTTAGGAAGACTTAAAAGTAAAACAAAATGATATTCTTAAAACCATAACCAGTAAATGTAATAGCCAAGTGTCTTATCACAAAAGGTTAAAGAGTTAAAAACTTGGAAGGGCTGTATGGGCATTTAGGCAAATAATTAATTCACTAGGCAATCAGGAATTGATAAGTAACTCAAAACCTTTAAAAACCCTAAGAGAGAGCAGCATCAAATTTCTTCTCATTGTAACACTGCTGAATGATTTGTTAATAAGATCATAAGAATAAAAGAAATGATCATCAACCTAAACCCTTTGATTTCTAAACAAATTCCCCATATCAGTATCAAAAGAAATGTATGAAGAGGAGTGTAGAAAACATGAATACTGACACTAGAGTAAAAGGGTTGAATACAGAATTTTTAAGAACCCTTACAAGGTTTGATTTAAACATTTTTTTTGTTTCAAAGTAAAATGTTATTGTCTAGGTAGTAATCTAAACATAATATAATGATTGACATAGAAATACCTTTGAATATATCCAGACTGGGTTCCAACTATTCGGCTAAGGCCCCCCTGGTAAACAAAACAAACAAACAAAAACAAAATGTCCTCATCATTTTTTTTTTTTTTTACATAACCTGAACATAGTTTTTACTTCATTTAAGTGAAAGCTCTACCATCTGTCATAAAAACCTCACTCTTTCCAAAACTGTAACTCCTTATTTCATGGTTTAACATGATACATGCCTGAGCCTAACTCTAAGCAAAATCTCCCATAAATACTGTGTTAAAGCATGCATTACAGGATTTATTATTTATTTATTTGGGGTATTTAGACAGGCTGGCCCATTTCAGCTTCAAAGCTAGTTGAACAACACCAGACCACAACACAGGGAGTAATGCTCTCTACTCCTTTCAAGGAGGGCATAGGTTTTTATCAGTCCCCTGCTAACCAGCACTGAGAAGATACAGGGGATGAGGCCTACCATTCATCGTCCTTATCCAAAAAAGACAAAAATGTCTAGACATTTTTTGATGCCAAAGCAAAGACAGCACATTCTCTGCACCTATATTAAGACCCTGAAAGTTGGTCCAGTTAAGGGTTGAACTGTGGACCTCCTGCTCTACAACATGAACTAACCAAGCATGATATATTCCACTTTCATTTTATTTTCAAGGTTTACAAATACACCCTCCACTATTATCTTACAACCAGCCCAGCAAAATGAATACCACAAAAACCAGGCTATTCAAGTAGCCTTCAAAGTTGGTAGCTTAAAAGTCAAGCCTAAAGAATATAAACAAATGAGCATTTGGATTTTTTAATACTGTCATATCATTACTCTGCTTTCCTTCATTGTTTCTGGCCTGTCTTACAGTGAACTACAGTCACATGTATGTATTCCATACATCCTGGTAATATGGGAAAAAAGGCCAAGATTTTCATTTAATGGTGATTTTGTTCCTTAACACAAACCTGCAGTGCTGCAAGAAGTCGAGGATTTTGCATAAGTTGAAGAGCAGTGTCATCTAAAATAAAAAGAAATGGCCCACCAAAGTGATTTAGTTTCAGTTTTCACTAGCAAAGTTAGAGCTATAACCACTTCAAAACTGGTGAGGATCAATAATCCCAGTAATGAGCTCCACAGAATCGGAGTCAGAAGAAAGGTTAGATTTTCTTCCGACCTGCTCATGACGCGATCTAGTGAAAACTAAACTGTTGGTGCTGTAGGCAGAGATGGAACAACCAATCAATCAAAAGCCAGTTTTCAGGTGTTTTGACTGATTTATTCTCCACCTTCCACTTCCAACTCCAGCAATCCAGTTTCAGGGTTTTCATTAACTTTAGAAGTAGAGGGGCACTGCCTTGTGAGTAGGCAGGTAACCTGTAAAATTGAGGGCCGACGGCCTGAACCTCTGGGGGGGTCTGAGGACATGCTCCCCTGGGAAATTTTTAAAATGCAAGTGTCCCGGAAGTGTATTTTCCTGCAATCTGGAAAAGAAATCTTGCTATGACGCATACTTATTCTAATTATAGTAAAAAAGAATGATACTGTGGGAAAATTTGTTTATTTCACTATACAGCTACAGCTGCATCAAAACACTGCTTTTGTTCTCAGAGCCTCCTCTTTTCTTACAGTAACAAGCTAACTTAAACTTGTAAACCGATAAAGAGTGTAACAGCGTCAGTACAGGCCGAAGCAGATTTTCATGTTCGAAATTTTTGATATGTTTTTGATTACATTTCTTGGCTTAATCTTGAAAGAAAATTAAATTGGAAAAAAGTTTATTTCAAGTTTCTTTCACTTGCTTGGAATATTTAAGCTTTGAAAGCCAACAAAATGTTGGCTTATTGAGACGCAGTACAAGCTAACTACTGCGACAAGCTATCTTAAACTTATAAACTGATAAAGAGTGAAACTGACAAATTTTCAGTGTCAGCACAGGCTGAAGCCAATTTTCACATATGAAATTTTTGATATATTTTTTAATGCATTTCTTGGCTTAATCTTAAATGAAAATTAAATTGGAACATAGTTTCTTTCACTTGCTTGGAATATTTTTAAAAGCTTTGAATACCAACAAAACGTTGGCGTATTGAGACATGCATGTTAGCTGATGAGCTCCTTTTACCGCGACATTCATCTCATGTAGTTTATTTTATATCCTGAATTATATTTCAGAAAAATACAAAGTGTTTTATGAACAGTTTAAATAATGGAATGCACAGAAAGGATATGTAATTTTTTCAAAAAATCATTTCACCAGCTGTAATCCAATTAAAACTGGAAAACATTAAGTCAATTTTCATTGTGCTTGACCTTTCATATGCAAATGATACTTCCGTGTTTCGCTCCAAGGAATGTGTAAACAACATAAGTGTAAACATGCTCAAAACTAACTTTTGACTTTTCATATGCAAATGACAAAAAGGAATCCAGAACACCTTGAGTTTTTCATTTGCTTGCCACGCTGACTCCACAGAACACACTTGCTTTTAAACATGTCGAACGTGACATGCAAGAGTTATGTAATAGCTAATCAAGCACTTTGGGAAGAACGCAACTGTCGCGCAGAGCCTTCACATTAAAGTAAATTTTATTTCCACGATCTGATGGCAAGTTAATGGTAAATTTGTGCTGAAAAATGGAAGAGTTAATATTTAGTGAGGTTAATAATTTTTTTCTTGACGATTTTCTTTCTGAATTTCGTACTTTGAGTAGACAGGTACTCTGTTCAAAGTAGATGGATGCCGGTACACGGGACCTGGCTTCCAATAAAAATCCTGCTGTTTTCACCGGATCATAGGTGATGGAGTCTTAAATTCATCAATTTTGTAAATCTCATGTATTCTAGCAGAATCAACATTTTTCTCCTGATTCCACAGGTTTGATTTTTACTTGTATCAGTCCTTGCTTCTTTACTATCATGACTGAGAATGTGACTGTGACCCTTTCATAAGTGAAAACCAACCAATACATTTGTGGCTGACAGTAAACTTACAGCATGACCCAAACTAAGTCGTGCACCTTGAATTTTTTATGAAAGGTGTTACACTCAAACTAATATTTACTTACTTGGAGGAGAACTGCCCATCTGATCTCCTTCACTGCCAGACAGATCTTCTTGAGCAGGATCAGACATTATGGGACTGTCAATCAACAATCAATCATTCAATTAATCAATGAGTCATTCAATTAATGGACCAGCCCACCAATCAGGCAATCAACCAATCACTTGATTAAACATCAAACAGACAGTCAGCCAATCAGTTTCCTGCAGTTGCTATGATATAAGCTTCTTGTTTAATCAAGTCCTCTAATATAACTTTCAAAGCAAATCACATATGGTAGATGGTTTGAGGAACTGACATGCAAAATTATTTATTGATTAAAGTTCAGATTCATAATTCATTGTTTACTCAAATCTTCTTCGTCCACTCATGAAGAGCCGGGCTGAGCTTATATAACCTAACAGGACCACGCGACAATCATCAAATTTTTATATAAGAAATGACAAAGTTGTGTTCCTCCTGGCTAATCGTCTACAATGTATATCACTGCACAATACAAAAACAAACAAACTGCTTTACCACACATAATTTTATAGCAAATAAACCCTACCTTATTTGAGTGCTAATGACAAAAAATTTTCATCAACTCGGATAGAATGCAAGTCTCTGTACCGTACGTATCAGCGTGCGTGCATTATGTATAAATGTAAGATACAACTAGATGGTAGTGACTTGAATTTATAGTCGTGAACTTTACACAAGCAAAAAACATAAATTCAATTAAGATAGCAGGTTCCATCTTTCAAAAAAAGAAAAGTGCAAATTATAAATCAAGACTTCACCAATTTGTTATGTATGAGTGCTAAGCAGATCTACCTCTTGCTTTGAGAGCTGCCATGTTATTTTTCGAAAAAAGAGCTTCTTTGAGCGGAATTTTTCGGTTTTAGACTGACACGTTGTTAAAGTAAATGTTGCAGCTACTATAAAGGCTTACCTTCGAAAAGTTTAGATTTTTGTGAAGAAATTTTCGCCCGGTTTTTGCAAAGTAACCTTTGCGAACCACGAGGTGAGGAAATATCCTGCGCCAGCGATAAGCCAGCGCTAAAAATGGCGCAAAGAATACTGGGGACGAGTGTTGTGGGCGGACAGCGGGATTTAACCCGCGGGAGATTACGACTGGAAGAAATATTTAATTTTTTGTGCAACGGAGAAATCAATTTAAAGAAATTCAGCATACTTAATTTAAGGAATATTTCTAGACGACAGCAAATGACCTGTTGAAGAAAGTAATAGAGTGAAGAAATATGTAGTTTTTTTCGTGACTTCGCCCACGCTCACACTTGGGTGAGCAGGGTGCACCTCTTATTATAGTCTGAAGTGTTTCACAATTAACGTCACCGATGTCGATGAATCACTGGGACTGGGGGGAACCATGGGCCCAAACAGATAAAGCTGGGGCCAAGGTGATTTTAGCTACTAACCAGAACAGTAGGCGATTTTTTTCAAGATCATCCCAACCTTTGGAACTTTGTTCAGGATTTCAACCCCTGGAACAAATATATGATGAAACTCACCTGATTGTCAGCATCTGTTTAAGTTTAACTCGTGAGGATCTTCTTGTTTCACGTATATTAGACAAGCATTTGCCTGTCCATCCCTCCCCTTCCTTATCCCCTTCCTTTCACATCATGCATTTCATTATCCGGGTCATCTGATTTGCAGAAGCCAATGAGAAACATCGTTCTAAGCTAAACTGTGGAACAACATCCATAGGTTGTCGTGTGCCTGTTGACATCAACTGTCTTTGCATTTCGTTGTCAGTAGAAATAGGTAAGCCTTTGATTTTTACTTGTTTTGAGTTTGTGGTGTAGTTTCTCAAAGGCATGGTACAGTTCTGAGCCCTAAACCAATGGGTAAATAATTGACTCTATGCTGTAGCGCGCGTTTGCAGGTGTGAAAGGTTTGTCTCTAACTAAGCATGATAGATTAAATTTGAGATCAGCTATGGACTTCGACTTTAGCAGACAGGGAAATGCACGAGTATTTACTCACTTCATTTGGAGAGAGATATTAGTGTTAAGATCCGAGGATGTCAAGTTAAAAGATGATGTAGTCGAGAAACGATTCTGAACGCTCCCTTGCAAACATATATTAAATTTAGTTTCGTCTTTATATCAACTGCATAAGTATGGATTACAGCTGTCGTTAATAGTTGTCGCTGTTCTCCTTTTTTAAAGCTGGCTAATGCGCGGGGAATGCATTTGTTGTTTTGTCTTCTTTCTGTTTTTTCTAAAAATATTGCGACAGTTTTGTGTAACCGACGTTTTGTGAGTCACACCTACGCTGCCTCTTCCCTCTTCAGGTTGTCAACAATCACTGAAATTAACTGACCCGTCATGTACATTGTCTGTCGCCAAAAGATTACTAGATTAATATACTACGAGTAGATACTCAAATTCTAACTTTTTTTTTATCTCGGTAAGAGAAAACTAACAATTTTAGATTATAACAACCAGGGTACTCGGTAAGATTAAAGAAATTGACTAGACTTCTTGTCTGTGGTATGCTAATTACCAGTACGCGTTAATATCTTGTGTATTGCTAAAGTCCTATTTCCGTCGATGGGCTCATAAACAAGTCGAATTAACGGCTTTACAACCGCAGAAAAAACAAAGATCTCAACTTTGATTAAAAAAATAACTAAACTCGAAAATATAGCGATGGATGTGATTACTGTATGTTTAAAACTATTTTCCTATGTCAGTCGTCAAGAACAAGTGCGGTGAGGAAAATTCTGGCAAATTCAAATGCACATGGAATGTTTATCTGTGTTGTTTTTGCAGATATTGACCGTCTTAATCAACTGAATTGGAATGAATTGAATTTTGTAAACAAAATAATATGCGATAGACTACAAATGTTTTAGCTTGGCGACATACATATCATTTTCTTTTATAACATAGCTAGTAAATTTGTCTAATCAAATTCAATTGCGCAGGCGTGCTTCATATTCCTATTGTGCATGCTCATGACATCAGCAAACATATTTCTCGAGAAAAAAATTTTCCATCGGGTTGAAAATGTTATAAAACAATTGGTTCATATGTCAGCTGTGTGTTCATCAAGATATGAAGCACTTGGGAAGTTTGAGAGCACTCACAAAGCTAGAGTTGCTCTCGGCTATGCCTCCATCTTGTAATCGATGTCAAATTTTTTCGCACAAATGACTGCCCAAATCATGTAAAAGTGGTTTTTTGTCATTCTGTTTTGTGCTTTCAGCACTTCACTTGTCAATCTAGTTTACTAGCTAACATCACTCAACAACATTCCTAACTGTGATTAGTTTGTGGTGTGCATATACCCCCTTAAATGTTTTGTGTAAGACAAATTATTGTTATGGCTTTAAGTCTGGGAAGTGGCAGTTAAACTGCTTTTCTGCAGAAAGACAAGAGCTATGTAATCTATGTTTCACTTTCCTCTGACTGTTTAATGCTCTTCACTGACTATCAAACATTGATAATAGTTGCATATTTTCCCAAGAATATTGGTTTTAAATCAGAACTAACAGAGTTATATTTTTATCAATTTTCAGCTTGTTAGTACATGAATTTTGGTGAGAAAATATCCTTTAATGAATCCTACAAGTGAAGGGCAGAGAAAAAAATGCAAATAAATTAAGGAAACATTTTTTGTGGGTGAAAGTTGTTTCTAGAGCTTGGGTGGGGTTGCTAACCAACAAAATATACAGACAACATTGCCTTATTTAGGCTTCAATATCAATTTGAGAAATGGTTACTTAGAGTTTTCTAGTCAGGGTGTGAACAATATTGATTTGTGAGTGGCAACAAGCAAATATTTATCTCTATATAAATAGTTATAAATGTGAATTCTGCACAGGTTTCTGACTGATTTTCTTTATTTCAGAAACAAACAAGAACATGGGCGTAGAAGGAGGTGCTAAAATCCTCAAATTTTTGGTTTTCTTTTTCAATTTCATCTTCTTTGTAAGTATAAAGCTATTGTTGTCTTAAAATCGGCAAAATTTGATTGGATCATTAATGTTGTTTCACCTGGGTGTATGGTGTTTGAGTGTTTCACCTGAGTGTATGGTGTTTGAGTTGGAGCCAGTAGTGAGCACTGTGAGAAATCTAACACCAAGTTTTCAAAGAATTTTTTATTTCAGTTTGTGTTTATTTCTTCTATGGGCTCACTTTAATTATAATGATTATTTCTCTCAATTGGTATTTTTACTCATCTTCTTGTGTCTTTATTTTGTGCTTTTCTGTTATAGCTTAAAAAACATTTTCAAATTAAGTCTGTGAAAGAGTTATGATAAGTACACCTGTAGAGAGGACATTGGGACTTAATTAGGAAAATTTCTAAAACCTGGAAACAAATTTTCAATTTTAGATATGCAGATTATGAGACTAGTATATCCTGAAAACCAAACATCCACAGAGGTTCATGTGATTGAACTAGAGAACTGACAAAAACCCACAGCCATTTTAGAAAATTAACATACCCTTCAACTCCCAAGACCTGATTGTTAATTCTCCCCTGAGCTGCTACACACTTTGTTGTAAACTAGTTAAAAGAATTTGATGTCAGATCAAGATAACAACTTCTATCTTTTATGTTTTGAGTATTCTCATATATAACCTGTTTGCTGAATAATGTACAGGTAATGTATGTATAGGGAGAAGTTACTTGTTAATCACTTGAGGAAGTTAGATGGTCAAACTCAGACCTTTGATGCTTTCTATAATGTAAAGTGTATGTCCTCTAGATCTCATAAAGCAGTGAAAAGATGTTTATAAAATTGTTTACTTTATCCCCTCACAGATTTTTGGCTGTGTGCTTGTTGGCGTTGGAGCTTGGGTTCTGGTTGACTCTGGCGACTATGTGACATTGACCAAGGAGGTGCCTTATGCAACTGGACCTAGGGTTTTGATTGCGGCAGGTGCACTCGTTGCAATTGTGGCATTCCTTGGGTGCTGTGGAGCCTGGAAAGAGAACCGCTGCATGCTGGTCATTGTAAGTAATTAGCAAGTAAATTCCCACACCACAAAATTATAAATCAATTAATAGTATAAATACAGGCAAAGCCCAATTATTACTAGCTACAACTTTCCAAAGTTCCTAGTTCAGATGCTGCAGAATTATGTTGTAAAGAAACTTTGAATAAACCGTAATTACCATCTTGTGTTTTTGGATCTGTAAGGCTGCACCATTGTATTCCCTTTTGTTTTGATCAGAATTATATTTTTTTTTCATTTCTTTTAAATTGACTGTCTTTTGTGGGGATGGTCATCTGTTATGACCTGATGATCTTTTGTCGATGATGTTGGGTTACAACATCAAAGGTGAAATAGAAAGTTGATATAAATGTTTGTGAGTGGGAGATCAATTTTCTTTGAGGAGACTGTGTTTTATTTAGGAAATTGTAGGGTAGGCAAGGAACAGGGGTGGTATAGAGAGAAACACACTTGCCTTGCACCTCTGTGGTCCAAAGCTTGATGTTACTTGGTTGCATGTGGTCTCAATTTGATTTAATTTACTTCTTGTCCTGGCTTTGAATAAAGCTCCTTAGATTTTCCTCCCTCCAGAAACAAACAAAACTTCAATTTTGATCCAAACAGGAATCAGTGAATGAATTTGATGATTAAAAGCTAACTTGTAGCCTTTAAATTATTGCTATGATATGTTTTTGTTAGGCTGTCCAAAAAAGTAGATGTTTGTGGACCTAGATATTGGGATTTATCGATGTTTGTTTTATTGATATCGTGGGCATGGTTGTGGTAATAATAGAAGTGGTGAGAGGGTCAATGATGATACAGTGATAATGACAATGATGGTGATAAAATCAAAACTGCATTAGTTTGACAAATATTAAAAAAAATTTTCCCTTGCAGTTCTTTATTCTCCTTCTTGTGATCCTGTCCTTGGAGATTGCTGCAGGAGTATTGGGATATAAGAATCGTGACAAGGTGTGTTTTACCCAAGAAACATTGTGTTTTACAGGCAGTAAATGAGCTTTGTTTTATTTTTATTTCATTAAAAAAAACTTTTTCCTAGGTTGAGAACAATCTTGACAAAGATTTTTTGAGGGAACTCCGACAGCATTACAATGAAAGTGGAAGTGAAGGAGCTACCAAGGGAATTGATACACTGCAGGAAAAGGCTAGTAATTTACATGAATTTGGTAGTGCCATTCTTTTTGTTTAAAAAGTTGTCTGCATGGTAGTGAAATGAATTTTGGTCTGAATGATTTTAAGCTACATGTAATTTGATTTGTATCTTCCTTTATCCAGATCATGATTCTTAAAAAGAGAAACCCATGAATGGACCCAGGTTCTTTGTAAAAAGGAGGAGTTTGTACCCACAAATCTGCTTAATTATTTGACCTACCAGAAAGGGTTAATTTCGGCATTTCTGGGGCATATCTTTTGAAGAAATCATTTTGAAGAATCTAACAAGATCTCATAGAGGGCCCTTTGTGGTCATTGCAATTTTCATTTTGGCATTGTTTGTAAAATGTATTCAAAGAATCTAACAAGATATCTTAGAGGACTCTTTGTGGCCATTGTCATTTTCACCTGAATGCCATTATAGTATTCAACATCTGGCGTGTGTTTTTGTGCATATCTCTGGTCAAAATTTGGAAATCTGAACTATAAATTCAGAGTATTCAGAAGACCTTGCTCAGGATGGGGATGGCACTTTTCTTGTACAGTGCCTCTCTCCACCCGGGAGTATGGATGGGTTCCCATCCCCCCTCCCCCCCCAGTCAGCCCTTAGGGAAACCTGATGAAATGCTGGGTTGCACCTTCTACTTGAAAAGCATTTCATCCAATAAAAAAAGGGGGGAATAAAAAAAGGGGGGTGACAATGCTTCTGTCAGCTCAATGTTTCTGAAACTGGCTCTAATCTGTGGGCCTCTAGGCTTGCAGGTAGACTAATTTTTTTTTATATTAAGATGCATTTTGAGTTGAAATAATAACTCTAATGAAATTGCCTTAACAGTCAATCAGACTAAGCTGTTAGGTACCTTTTTCAAGGAGCCCATATATTAACAATTCAAAGTGAGCTACAAAATCTCAGATAGTGAAAGGAAAAGAGAGTGACCACTTCACTCTGGTTTTGGTGTTGTCTATCAGTTGTTGATAATATGAGTTTTCCTGAAGTAAAACGAAATCAGAGTAATCCCAGAATACTCATAATGCAACATTAAATGGAAATTTTTGTCCCTAATCCTTAAGCTTTCCTTTCAATGTAAACATTTTGCAATGAATTCTTTTTTCCTTGTTGTTTCTATAGGAGAAGTGTTGTGGCTGGTATAACTACACAGACTGGTACCAGTCAAAGTTTGGAGGGCAGACCAACAGAGTTCCAGACAGTTGCTGCAAAGACGTTGTTAAAGATTGTGGAACCAAAAAGGATATTTCCCTTTGGTATCAAGAGGTGAGCATGTGACTTTCACGCACACATTTAAAGTCTGCTAGTAATGATAATAACAAGCCTTGTAGCCAGCAGTGTTTGGGCAACATTGTTCTTGTTGCCACTGCATAAGTGAGCAGGAACTTGGTGCCCCCCTGAATTGGATGTTAGACCATCACTCACTCATAAATGCAACATCACTCATCAGAGGGGTAACCAGGATAATGATGCCCAGTTGGGGGGGCTCATGTGCAAACCTTTGGGTGGAGAGTCAAGCATGCCACTCATCAAGTCATGCAACACTGATCTGATTAACCTATTAAACAGACATTGATTTGACTAATTATTTAAATGCTGTCAAAGATTGTGAAATATGCTAGGCATGTTGTATTGTCATCACAGGGTTGCAAGACGAATCTGGAGGACTTGCTCAAAAGCAAGTTGAAATATGTGGGTGCCATTGCTGTTGCTATTATTGTCATCCAGGTAAGATGAAATGAAATGTACTCTGGTATTTACTAAAGACTGTATGATTTTATTTAAGGATGAGTCTCTGATACCATAGAAATCAGTCAGTATTAGTCAGCTGTTAAGTTTCATAGCAACAGAGAAGGTTTCAAGAATGATTTTTGTGGTGTATTACAATTTCAACATCTTAGACAGAGGTCACCATCAGAGTTTGGTGTAGAGTTGTTGATCATGTAGAAATTTTTGCTTAGAGTTAGATGTAGAATTATGAAACTGATCAATCAATCTGTGAAACTCAAAGGTAGTGTTGCCCATTTAAGTTATGCACTGTTGCAAGTCACTGGGTGCTGCTGACATTTGTAAAGAGGAAGCTCTTTGGACTTTGTTGAGCAGCTTTCCAGAGTCGCTGTAGAGTAATTATGTATTATGATTCTAACATTGCATAGAGTTTCTTAAGTCAACCATATACACCCTAGCATTGGTATGAAAGTTCTCTATACTGTTCTCTGTGCATTTCCTATGATACTTACAAGGATAATTTGTCTAACAATCAAGAGCTTCTAAAGTTTGTAATCCTCTCTTCTATTCCTATGACCTTAATGTTTGATTCAGGTGTTATCCCTTTAACTCCCTTAAGTGACCAAGACATAATTTCTCCCTACAGTATCAATACAATATCAACCAGATAAGTGATGAGAACAAAGAAAAACATCAATTTGGGGATAATTAGTTGATCCAATACTAAATACTCTGAATTAGCAATATAAGGATTGTGTGGTTGACAGTAAGGAGAATGACAAATTTGATCTGGGAGTTAAAGAGGGGAAATGAGATGCTTATCAGTCTTAGGGGTTAAAGGGTTAATCATATGAAATGTCACTATTTGAGTTAAATTCTACATTTGTTGTTCATTTTTCATTGACCAATATTTTCTTTATACAGCTCCTTGGGATGATATTTGCTGCTGTTTTGATCTGCAAGATTGGTGATGGAACAACTTATGCCTAAAACTCACAATCGTGTTAATCTTCTCTTTAAAGATGCAAAATGCAGTCCTTTGTTTGGAAATAACCATTATGTAAACCAGACATGTGCTGAAAATTTCTTTATCTGACTTTTTGTATTTAACAGGCTAGGGTTTAATGTTAGAGTCATTTTCGTATAACAGTTTTCATAATTTGACGGTTTTCTTGGTTTGTCTCAAATAAAAAAAGTTTGTTAAAAAAATTTGATTTGTTAGTTCTTCTTTTTGTATTTTGATTTGTTTTTGTTGTAGTTTGGTCAGTAAGATAGGCTACTTCATTTTTTGTTTGTTGTTTCAATGTGTCCTGATCAAGAGCAGGTCTCTATTTATAAAAGAACCTTGCACTCTCTCTATATGACTTTTAATTAACTGTGTGACTTTGCAATGTATCTTACATGTCTACACAAGCTGTGGTAAATATTTGCATCTGAAGAATATTTTTTAGTTACAGCTTTACATTTCACAATTGCTTGTCTAAGGATTCAGTTTCTTCACCTTGAAGTTCATGGCATCATCACTTCAGGAGATCAATTTAAATATTATGATGGCTATGAGCTTGTAAGAGTTGAATAGGTTTCCTGGTACTTGTGGTCAGAAGGTTATTTTTTTGTCAGTGCAAAAAGCAGTTGGTTGATATCATGCATCTAGGTGCCCATACCATATTGCCTCAAATAAGCACCAACACTCCAATAAGTGCCCTTCCCTGAATAAGCCCCCACCCCCACTCCCTTGGCTATAATATCAAACAAGTACCTCCCCCTCCCCCTCCCCCTCCCCCTCCACTTACTTAAATAGTAGGGCTGAAAGGAAAACCACTTTAATTACAACTTTTTAAGCTTCAACTACTTTGGAATTAACACAACCTCACCTCTCCTTGATAGTATTCCCTCTTCCCATCTCAGCCAAAATTTTTATTAAGTACCCTGGCTGTACTTCTGGTCAATATGGCATTTAGAAACATTACTGCATTTACACTGACAAAAAAAATTCTGATGAAAAGTTTCTCTTTAAAGGGACATATTTTGTAATGTTAGAGGAGAAAGGGTATATAATCATCTAATCCCTAGTCAGTTCACAGACTGTTATATACAGTAGCAAAGGGGCTTATGTAGTCCAATGGCTAGAGGTAATAAATTTGTATCTTTACATTAAATTGCTGTAATAAATTTGAGTGAGAAGGCCTTTAGGCCTCATTGGACAAAAAGGACTGTGTTTACTCTAAACTAGAATATCATCACAAAGTTGATATTCCATTTTTGCAAATGATCAAGTTGTCAATAATGAAGGGTTTTATGGTTCCTTTACCCACAGTACCCATTACCTCTTTATCTCTCACAGGTGATTAAAATGTAACTTCTATTAATAATTGTCCATAATCAAGTAAACAGATGAGAATACTCAAGCTTATCAGATAGAAGTTGTTATCTTAATCTAACACCAAATTCTCATAACTGATTTGAAATGAAATGTGTAGCAGCTGCAGAGGAGAATTAACAATACGATCTAGGGAGGTGAAGAGCCAAAACAAACTTATTTTCACTATGGATTTAACATCTCTTTATACTGTCATTCCCATTGACGAAGGTCTCCGGCCCCTCAAACATTTTTTCGATCATCGCATTGTTAAGGAACCTAGCTCTGAAACACTACTCTGTCTGGCCGAACTAGTACTCACATTCAATTGCTTTTCATTCGGTGGTGACTATTACAAACAAACTAATGACGTGGCCATGGGTACTAAAATGGGGCCCAGCTACGCCAGTCTTTTTGTAGGTTTTATCGAACATCAATTTTTTAGTCAATACCATGGCCCAAAACCTGAACTCTACGGCCGTTACATTGACGATTGCCTCGGCGCTTCCTCCTCTACCAGGGAGGAGCTCACTCAATTTATAGTCGCCGTCAATTCCTTTCACCCGGCTCTTAAATATACCTGGGAGATTTCCGACACTTCTTTGGCTTTTCTAGACATCAAAATTTCAATTGAAGGCAACGGTTTATGCACTAGTGTTTACTACAAACCTACAGATTCACATAGTTACTTGTTGTATTCATCTTCACATCCATCACACGTCAAGAACTCCACACCTTTTTCACAGTTTCTCAGACTTCGTCGTTTATGTAGTGACGACTCTGATTTTTCCGAAAAATCAGAGACAATGTGCCAGTTTTTCGATAAACGTGGCTATCCTGTTTCTGTCGTTCAAGCAGGCCACCGCCGTGCCCAACAAATTGATCGACAGTCAGCACTACAAACGGCTGAGAAGGAAAACACTGACCGCATTCCATTTACTCCTACATTTCACCCTCACAACCACTCAGTTAAATCTATCATTCTTAAAAATTGTAAATTACTACAAAACGATTCAGAGACTGGCACTATCTTTTCGCAACTCCCACTTATTTCCTTCAAACGTGACAAAAACGTAGGCAACTTTTTAGTCAGGAGTTCATTTCAAACCAATGACCAATCTGGAACTTTCAAATGCGCTCGCTCACGATGCAAAACTTGTTCTTTCATTCATAACGTAGAGAAAATATCGGGATCCAAGAGATCCATTAAGATCACTGATCACTTTACGTGTACCTCCGCCAATGTTATTTACTGCATAACTTGCACTTATTGCGATAAGTTATACATCGGCGACACAGGAAGACGACTAGGTGACCGATTCCGAGAACACCTTCGCGACGTGGAAAGAAATGACAAGAACACATCCAAACTAGTCGCTAGACACTTTAATCTCCCTTACATCTAGGCAGTTCGGAAAGCCGTAAAACACTAGAACAAAAATTTATCTTCCAAATCAGAACCCTTAATCCCCACGGAATAAACGAGCGCTTTTCATTCAACTAATTTATTCCTGTTTTAAGCTGTTTCGCGTCGTGGTTTCCTACGCTCATCTCGTGTTCTCCCAACCTCCCGCTTGTTTACATCAGGCTATGTTACTTACGGGCTCGTACAATTTTGTCAGTCTTTTAAAAAAAATTTATTCGTGCTTATTTATTCCAAATTGCGGTCGAAATCATGTGATTACCTGTACAAAATAACACATAATTTTCAAGCCTTGCAAACGCACCTTAAAACCAAGAGAAGGCGTTTTTTTTTAGGTTGCAACAGACGAATTAAAGATTTTTCAGTTTCAGACTTAAGCTGGTCGGTTAAAAAGAGTAAATATTGCTGTTGAGCTGGTGTTGGATGCATCTATACGAATACACTTTGCTTCGAATGTATTGCGCTATCCTCATGACCTATTGTATTCGGGTTTATAATGGTAAGGGCACTACAGCTTAAAGTAAAATCACTGTCAGTTTCCAGATACGCAACACCAACCCTTACATAGCGTTTTATTCGTGATAGATGACAGTATAACTTCAGAAATTAATGAATTTTTCACTGAGTCAGAAGGAGAAAATAATTTGTTGGTCCAGCATCTCTCATTGGACCAGTACCACAACCTTTTCCCTCGCGATCACCACCTTAATAAGCTGTTTCAAAATTGATTCCTTTACTAACGTCTTTTGTCGTAAATTCGAACAGTTTCGTTAAGAGAAATAATGCAACTAATTCGATATAACATCGGTAAACCCCAGAAACTCTGTAAATGTCTCCCAAATAGGATGGCCATGAACCCCTCCTACAAGAACCCTCAAGTTGCTAGTTTTAGTTTTCAGCGCCATTTCTTTGGTAAGTGATGCTCATCTGCTCGTCCCTATGTCTATTTCCCTACCCTACCCCCTGTAAAACGGACCATACACAGGATTCTGTTTTAAAAGTATATTTTGGTAACGTAAGATTTTTATCAGAATTCTGATATTCTGAATTCTGATTCTGGTCATCGGGTATGTACTTATCTGTGATTTTCTTCTTTCAGGACATATGTTGTGGATGTTACAATTACTCGGACTGGAGAAACTAAAGGGAAACGTCTCTTCGTTTTAAAATTCCCTGTTAACCAAGTCAGTTTAATTAAAACTGTTTGTTTCTTAATTATTATTTTCTCAATCCTCTTCGGTGATTCATATACAGACCGCGACTCTTGTAGCTTCTAGATAACTCCGTGCATGTTACGGTATATTCTATCAGGATTTTATTGCAGTTTGTTTAGTTTCAAACTTTTTAATTTATCCTCCTATAACGATGTCTTTCCGGTTTAATATCTTTCCAGGGATGTTACTGGGTTTTTCCTGTATAAGGTGATCAGAAGAAATCTTTACATTGTAGCTGCCACTGCCACTGCTGTTGCTACAGTCGTGTTCAAAGTAATAGAAAGCAAACGTATCATGCCATAACTATCTATGATCCATCAAATATTTTCTCTCGCGCGTGATTAGCTTAAACGCATCACGTGACCGAATATCCCCAGCTAAAACTAGGGGATATCCGAGGATACAGATAAGAAAAAACACTGACGGTAGACGCTAGGCGTTGGTAGCTCTTTCACTTATTCTTCCTCAGTAAAGCAGAATGATACGCTCATCGAGGATATACTTGAGAATCTAAACACTATCGACTGAATACCTCCAACATGGATATATGTTACATCTGACGTAACAGGAAGTCCCACCAATGCGTTTCAAATTCTACATCTATTTTAGAAATGCAAAAAGCTATGCCCACCAGATCGCAGCTCTTTAACTATCCATTGTCAACACCCCAATAAACTTGTTTTATGCATGCTAGAGCAGCATATGGTTCTTCAAGTCTATAACTAAAAAAACGTATCTTTTATGATGCTCTGAAGAGATCGCTACCGGTTGAGGTGGTCCTTCAATACAAATATTTGCCTAGTTGGTCAAATCTAATCCCGGAGGATCTAAATTTTCGGTCTCACATCCGAGCTCTTACCGAAGTCTACAAAAAGATTTCGAATAAAGGGATTCATGGTAGACCTATTAGTGGCTTACTCAGCTCACTTGCCCGAGTAATCTTAACCAACAAGATTGCGCTAAAATAAGTTTTTTGATTGATGTTCAGCACCCGGAAGGGGAAAGCAGCTGGAACTCAACTGCCACAGTTCCACAAAAGGTTTTCCTACAAAGTTACCAAAGAGAAGAAAATTGGATGTAGGGACTTAAAGTAGGTCTTGGTGGTTCGTTAGTTTGCATCAAACATTTTTAAAAACAGCGCAAAAAAAAAATCGGTCAGTGTTAACAAAATAATGGTTTCAATTTTGTTTTTATTATCAGTGTCTTTCGTCAATCAATTCCTGTAAAAATCTTTTCCCTCTGTCCTTCCCTCTCATTGGAAACAAAAAGCATTTGTAAGCATACTCAGCGAACATTAACATCCAAAATGTACCATTGCGTCTTTCCAAAACTTTTATATAACTAATTTTCACTTCTTTATTTCAAAAATAAAATA